TCGGCAAGACTTTAAGATGCCAGAAGTAGAAGGTGGAGTGGGAGCTTCCAGTGCAGTAGAGGGCAGTAGGAGGTCGCCACGGCAGTAGTTGTGGTTGTGGCCGTTGCTGAGGTCAGTGGAGGGTCTTGGTGGTGTAGATTAGCGATGATTCTCGGACTTGTTGTTCTCAAAGCACGAACCCCAAGCCGAATCAACTCAGAAGGGACAGACTGGATCTCCGACTTGGTTTTGGAGACTCTTGGTACAAGTTTCGATTTGTGCGTGGTTTTAGGGTATGGCATGCATGAGGGTCTCGTATGCCCAGGCTCCTCCACGCTGACGGTGACAGCACCAGGCCTCCAGAAACCCAGCAGCTTTCCCGAGCTTCGCAAGCCCTGAACCGAGCTTCCAAAATCCTGCTTTCTGGATGCCCCCACAGTAAAGGACCAGATCTAAATCTGCGGCCCTTAGCCCTAAACCCGAGATTCGCTGAGGTGTTAGAGCTTGGGGGGAGATAGGCTTCGGCAGGCATGGCTGTGCCACACAACTTCGTGACCTTTCGGATCTGATCTGCAGGATCCCACGCTGAAACAGCAATCGCGACAACGGCACTGGGTTGTGCCGGGGAGGCGAGGGGCAGGAATGGGTCGAGGGCTAGATGCTTCGCGCGATGAGTGTCGGCTTTTTCTCTGCTGGTCTCAGGTCTGCATGTTCAGGTCTGGAGGTGCTTTCGCGTGAGAGCATGCACATATACTGGTGGATGGACCTTCGGACCGCCACGATAACATGCACACATCCTCAAGCTTCTAACACTTTCTAGGGTTATAGACCATCACTGCTCGGATCTTTCAACTCTACGCGACTTCAACCCTGGCTCTAAACACTGCACTCTCCAATTTAGAACCCGACAAGCCCCAAAGGCAAAGGCTCAACTCCGAAGACTCATAAACGGCCCTAGACCGCAGTAGGCCCTAAACACTAAAGCCTGAACCCTAAAACGGTTTAGGTTTAGGGAGCCCGTCCCTTCCTTACTAGGGCCGCGGCTTCGCGCCCTCGCCGTAGAAGACGGCCGGCAGCTTGTCATTTGGAGTCTCCTCGGCCCCTACACCTTAAACCCACCCTCAACGGTAGCCTTGTTACAGGCTAAGTACAGGATTTAAAGGATATCCTACCCCCTTTTTGCACCCGAAACAGTGGCTTTGTGGCAGGCTTAGGCCTGAGGGATTTGGCTCTGGAGTGGGTTCCTTCCATACTTTCCCGGTTTTCCGGGCCCCTTAAACCCTTTTTTACACAGGCTTGATTGGAGCTCGCCCGGCCAATAGGGGCCCTAAACCCTTTTGCAACTGGCCT